TTTTGAATATTCTTTTGAATGAAATTAATTTTTTAAAAAATAAAAAATAAAAAAAAATAGACCAACAAATATGTTTTTAAAATGAAAAAAATAAAATATAAAACATTAATCCTAAACACTCAACCATATTAAATATCCTCCAATGATGTGACTTGCATCCTAAGCAAATTTTTGCTGGGTATATTCCATGATCCAGTTGGTTGCTTAGAAATAGTCAACTTCCTTTTAAAAACGTGAAAATTTATCCCTTTTTCTACAGTGTTTGGTTAGGCCCTAAAACTCTTTCTAATATAAAAATTTTATTTTCAATCATAATATGATATGAACCAAACCATATGATTTCTAAAAATATGAACATATATTTACCTGTCGAGATTTATAGAGGTGAACATGCTCTTGGTGTTTGCCTTCAAGCCTATACTCATGCATCACCCAATTACTCTTCTGCCCTCTCGGAGCTCTCCCCATGTAGAAAACTAGAGTCTTCTTCATCCCAACAATAACTCCCTTCCCCTTATATATTTCCTTGTCTTTTCCAGTGGCTTTCCAATATCCAGACTCCGTAGCACGGTTTGTTCTCATTCCTGTAGGATATTTCCTATCCTTTTGGCAGAAAAAGAACCATTCTTTCTCTCCCATCTTCGCCTTACCTGTATGCACATAAATTTATGACACACAAATTTTTCTGTTAAGTTCATTACATGCGTGAAAGAAAGCTAAGATGAAAAATATTTGCTTGGAGTCAGTTAAGGGCCCATTTGAGGAAGTTTATTTGGTGCGGTGATATTTTTAAAATGCATGAGGTCTATTTGGGTAAACTGAGTTTTGACAGCTTATGCATTTTTAAAATTCTAAAAGCAGCATTTTCCCACCGCAACAAGACCTATCTTGGTGCGGTGACAACTTTCTTGCTGCAATCTGGCTTTCCCAAAAAAAGTAAAAATTTGTAATAGTCAACGCAAATAGCTTATCTGCAAATTACAGCAGGCCCAAACAGACCGTAAATATATCATATTAACACACAACAATAGAAGTTGAAAAATAAGATTTTATAAAGCTAATCAGACACAGTTTATTTGGTGCGGTGACATTTTAAAAATGCATCAAGTCTGTTTGGGTAAACTGAGTTTTGACAGCTTATGCGTTTTTAAAATTCTAAAAGCAGCATTTGTCCACCGCACCTATCTTGATGCGGTGACAACTTTCTTGCTGCGGTCTGACTTTCCCAAAAAAGTAAAAATTTATAATAGTCAACGCACCTAGCTTATCTGCAAATTACATTTGCCCCAAACAGACCATAAATATATCATATTAACACACAACAATATAAGTTGAAAAATAAGATTTTATAAAGCTAATCAGACGATTGTATATGTGAAAGAATATGAAAGGAGGGGGAAGAAGGGTATGATTATGATTACTTGGAAGATCCCATGGCTCACAATCATTGAAGTTTGCTTCAGAGATGGCGATTGGGCTGAAGTTCTGATCTTTGATTTTCTCCAAGAGGTAGTGGGTTATGATCTCTTCATCTGTTGGGTGGAATCTGAAACCAGGAGGCAAGTAGAGAGATTCATCCATGGCTACAGCACCATAAAGACTTGAATTCGAGGCCTCTTCGGATTGAAATATTGGAGGAAGAAGAGAATAATGGCAGAAGGAAGCTAAGATTAATATGAGGTATTCATAGGAGTCATATATAATAGGACCCGTGCTGTAGAAGGCAGTTATAAAAGAAGAAGCACGTTTTGTTATTTGTGAAGCTACTGATGTATATTAATGTATTTATAATCTTTATGAAAATTATGAAAAGGGCGACTTTTGTTCTGTTTCTTCATGTTTCTTCTTAGTTCTTATCTTGTACATAACCTGAATTAGACTTTTGACATGCAGAACTGAAAGCATGTTGTTTACCAAAAATTGCGTGCACATGTATTTGGCAAATGGTATGGATGCTTGCTACAAATTTTCAAAGATTGCAACTGCTCCTTTGGACAAATTACTAACATGGAATTTTCAGTAGAAAAAAAATAAGTTAGGATGTATTCATATAATGCTGTATAAAATAATATATGAATTTCTTTTTATAAAATAGTTCATAAATTTGTGCTGAGGACTTGTATTTTTGCCGACTGCAAGAAAATCTATTAATTATATTTGATTCAATGTTGTCATTAAAATATAAGAGATTTTACTATAAAATTTGTAGTAATTTATATAGTTCGATGCCATTCACCCACATCCATGGCTGTATAGAGAGAAATCAGATATTTCATTCTATTTTAAGATAGGGGTATATTAAATTTTTTAATGCATAAAAGAACAAAGCTATAGATACCATTTCTATCTCTTACAAAGACTCAGAAAATATAGCCACTAATGACAAAATGAGTGTAAGACATATCGAAAGGACTTATTTCTGTTGTTGCTATCACCTTCTTCTTCCTTTTTTGAATATGAGTGATTGTTTCTCCCATTTTTTCTGTATTACAAAAATTAATTCCTTTAGGGTTTTTTTTTTTTTTGTCATCATCTTACATTACATCCAAAAGTTTCGGTTTATAATTTAAAATTGTCGATTAGCAAATTTTCGACTGGCTCATGACAGTTTATTAGACTTTACGTAAATCGCTTGTTAGTAATTACATAAGTGAAGAATAAATTGACGACTTTTATCCAAATGATTTAACTAGGATCCTCACCCAGTGATGTCTAATTAAAAGCAAATTGTTTGTAAGTCATTGGTATACTTTGGTCATCAGAACCGGTGGGTCGAAAATTGTTGGACCAGAAAGGGTGTGACCATTGGTAATGCATGGTTAAGCAGTCGGTTTTGAAAATTTATATGATTTGTATCGATCAAATGTTTATTTTTCGTTGTCAATTTTAAAAAAATTTTTACCAATCAGATGGCTTGCATTGTTGTCGATTTTGAAAATATTTTCTGATTGAATATCATGCATCACTATCAGTTTTACAGCTCTAGTAAGACCACTGTTAGTGGGACATTTCGAGCTCCCTTAGTGCCGATTGGACTTCTGTGAACTCCTTGAGTTTTCTAAGTATTGTTCAGACTAGGGATCATGTATAGAATTGTTGAAATATTTTTTAATAATTTTTTTCATGTAATTAACAATAGAGCACAAGGTTTATAATAATAACACTTTTCTTTTTACTCATTGAGATACATTTTTTCCAAGGAAAAAAGTGTTTTTAGGTTTTCTTCATTCCACATTTGAGGGGTTCATTTTCCTATGTAGATTGTTAGCTTGTACGCTCCAAAGGTGACTCATTTGTTTATGATGAAGGGTCCATTCTTGAACTAGTCGAGCTTTCCCACAGCTTGTCCTCTCACAAGCTAGGTTGATTTTCTTCAAAATGAGGTCCCTAATGGAGAAGGAATTTTTTCTTACATGACTATTTTAATACTTAGCCATACGTTTCTTTACTTCCTTTTGTTGAAGGGTTGGATCAACTGATTTCTCCTAATCAAAGTTATGACCTAACATTACTCTTTCTTCAATTGTTTCTGGTCATTTGATTAATTTTGACTCATCAAATGCTAAAATACTCATCACTCCCTAGCTATGATGATTGTATCTGACTGTTAACATTTTCCCCATCTCGTGTTACATCATAAATGGGTCTGTCAAATCACTGAAGAAGGTTTTGTTTGAGCTGTCTAAAGGACATTTGTGAAAACCTCTGCCAAATTCCTCTTAGCTCCCTCAACTTTCTTCCTTGAAAAGTTCAAGATGATCTTATTGGCTACCTTGGTTTTCCAAGGATGATGCACAAATGTAAACTTCAAGCTGATTCTTTGGCTTTATCAGAGATAATTTACTTCATGGTTTACAAATTACATTATGTCGTTTGTGATAATAACCTATGGTAGCCAGTAATGATAGATCAAATTTTTCCATATGAATTTCCTTATGACCTATGTTGTGATATGAATAAGTGCTTTGATCTTAATTCACTTAGAAAAATAATCCATAGCAACCAAAAGAATTTGCAATGGTCCCAAGACGAGGGAAAGGACCCAAGGATGTCGAGTCAACAGACACCAAATGGTCATAGATTGATGATGGGTTATAATTTGTGTGTCGAATGATTTTGTAATAGTGCATACTTCTGACATGATTTTAATTTCCTGGAGAATTTTTTGGCATCATCCAGAAATGTTGGCCAGACGTAACCCTATCACTGCACTCGGTTAAGTTAAAGTATTACCTTTTAAGTGGCTCTCACATTGCACCACGTTCACCTTTTAATTACATCTTCTACCTCATTTTTCTTTATGAATCACAAATATAATGACATAAATGTTCTATAGAAAAGCTTTCCTTCAATAAAAAGATACCGAGTTTATTCAATTTTGATTTATCTTGGACAAACAACATCTTTTAAGTTCTTTCTGTCTCAAGATATAAGATTTAGACGTCCACCAAACTAGATAGTTGGTCTTTTGATCTCTAGTTCCATCACATCAATTTCTTGAATAGTCGGTCGGACAAGCACTTATTAAGCATCCCTTACCTCAAGCTGATGCACTTGAATAGGAGGTCTTGTACTTGCTTATTCTTGCGGGCGATATGTTTGATCTTGAAGCCTTCAAACTTCCTAATATTCATGTTAGTTTTGCTTAGATACTTAGCCATCATAATGTCAATTATCTTAAATTGCTTGTTTACTTGATTCACCACCAACTATGAGTTAGACTTCCCTAGAGATTGACCAAAAAAAATATGTTGAAATTTTCATACCTATTTTACACTACCTGGAGATACTGAGCATCCATCACATAAGTAAAGCACAACCTGACAATTAAAGCTTCATATTCTATCTGGTTGTTGGTCACTTTGAATTTGAATTTGATTGAATGGTACATGTGTTCCTAAGTTGGAATAGTCAAAGAAAGATCTAGCCCCACTCTAGTTTGGATAAATGTTTCATCAATATGTAAAATCCAGATTTAGTTATTGACAGCTACTCGTTCATCTGGCTCAATTGGTTCAGAAAATTTATCAGGAAGTCAACTATAGCTTGTGCTTTTCAGATATGTAAGAGATGTCGTGTTCATTAAGCTCCATCACCATTTGAGGAGCTGACATTAATGCTTCAAGCGAGTAAGGACATACTTAAATGGATTGTCAGTGATGATCCTAACTAGATAAATTTGAAAATATGGTTGAATCTTGCAAATGGAAACAACAAGTACAAATCTTAGTTTCTTCATAATAGGGTACTTGAGCTCGATCCCTCAGATAACCCAACTGAGGTAGTAAACCCAAATTGTTTTTCTAGCTCCGATCTAACTAAATTTGAGCTAATGAATTCAAGTCCAACTCTCAAGCATAGAGAATGTTCATCATTTAGCATTGGGATTTAGATAAGTTGTGTTACCATCAAAGAATCTTTTAGCTTTCTAAACACTTGTTCGCAATCTTCTGACCATACACAGTTCTCGCTCATCTTAGAGTTTTGCAAAATGTAGCACATTTATCACCTGATATGAATCAACTTGATCGAGCCAGTTGGCTTTTACACTTACTTATTTTTTGGAGGGGTTGATATGTTGATCTGTGCCTTCATGTTTTTTGAGTTGGCTTTTATATTCTTTGAGGTTGGGGGCAACCCAAAAATTTTCCTATTGGGGCACTTTAGTTGGTTGAGCCTCATTTTAAATTTTATAGGAGTTTTAAGGGCTACATTTAAATCTTTTATAAGTTGCTCAGACATTTTACCTTTTACTAGCACATCATCCACACACACTTCAATATTTTTTCCTTTTTGATTAGAAAATGTTACATCCATCATTCACTGGTACATAGCTCTAATACTTTTTTAGCTTGAATGAAATTACATTGTAGCCATGCACACTCTTGCTACTGATAAATGTGGTTTTTTTTATTAGCCTCATGTTTCCTTATCTGGTGGTAGCTAAAAAACACGTCAAGGAAGCTCATTATTAAGTGTCCAACCGCTGCACCCATAAGCGCATCAATATGAGTCAGAGAATAGTTGCCTTTCTGGTACATAACACTTAAAGTGGTGAAGGCCACACATATTCTCCACTTGTCTTTTGACTTATGCACCATGACCATGTTGGACACCCATATCTGATACTAGACCTCTCGTATGTAGACCACTTTTAACAACTTTTTAACTTCCTCTCAAATTTGATTGGCTAGGGTAACAGCTGAGGACTTCATCTTCTGCTTCATTGGTTTTATGATTGAAGTCCAAGTGATGGCAAGAAATGTTAATTGGAATTCTCGACATCTTGACTACAAAAAAGGAAAAATGTTTTGTTGGTCCCAAAGGATTTTTATTAGTGTATACTTCGATCGTGTATCAAAAGTTTCATTTATTAGAAAGAAATTATTGGTCTCACCTTCAGTCATTGAAATTTGATGTGTGATCTTGCTGGTCTTATGACCCTCTTCACAGAGGTTTTTGAGCTCTAGTACTTTCTACTCAATGCTTACAACTTCTCGGAGATAGTAGGTAGGGCATTAATCTAGATTTTCTCGCATGTTGATCACTTCCCTCTCACCTAGAAATTTCACTACCACATGGTAAGTTGAGGTAACAACTTGGAAAGATTTGAGTGAGGGTGATCCCAAAACTGTTTATATGCAATAGTATAACAATGTATGCGATTATATTTTCACTTATATTTCCTTACTTTACAAAAGTACCAAAAACTTGGTCATAAAAAAAATAAGAATTTAAC